TCCACTGTGGGACACATGGCTCTCCCCAAGGCCCACCGTAGCGGCTGCCTTGACACCACCTGAGCAGGAGGGACAGGAATCCCTTCTCCTTTCCTCCTTGGCCTTGCAGCGGGGCAAAAGTTCCTGCACATCCTTGCCCCCAGCTCTGTGCCCCCAAGGATGCCCACAGGAGAAGAACCAAAGCAAAATTGCTGGGGCGCCACCGTACCCAGCACGTGCCAGGCAGCCCAGCCACGCTCCCCATCCCGCCAGTATCTGGGGTGGATAGTGCCTGGCACCCACCCTGCCCACGACCCAACGCCTGGCAGCAGGACCCCCTTACTCACCGCCCACTTCGGCCGCTGCCCATGGGGCCTGGGGACACGGCAGGGACAGCCAGGCAGAGTGGAGCATGCAGTGCAGCCGAGGCTGCCAGGAGAGGCCAGAGCTCGCCTGACCTACTTCTCCTTCCGCATCACCTGCTTTCATTTTCCCTCACCCTGGCTGGTCCCCCCCCCCCCCGCCCGTGGCCCCGCCAAGTCACGCCACCAACTCTGGGGACACAGGGCACCCAGGCCCCGTGGCTCCCACTGCACCAGTGTGCATGCCAACTGGCCGCCCATCCCTGGGCATGGAGCATGGCCAGGCACCAGGCACGCTGAAGGTCACTAGCCACAGCCCTGGCATCCCCCCACTGCCTGCACGGCCACCCAAGCGTCACCTTCCTGGCACAAAGCCAGTTTGACGGGCTTCAGCCCAGCCCCTCGCCGGGTCCTCTGGCCACCCCAGGGCTTGCTGGGGTGTGGACACGCAGCTCCCGGGGCATGTCGGGGACGCCAGCGCTGCCACGGGGAGCCAGGCGGGCGCCAACCCTCCAGACGGGGCGGCCGCTCCCGCCGGCACCCCGCCGGCTCCCGCGGTGGAGTTACCATGGGAAGGCGGCTGTGGTGGCGCAGGGGGAGCGCAGGCTCCCGGGGGCTTCCGCCAGCAGTCTGTGCGCTGCCAGGAGAAATTTCTCCCTGGTTTCATCATCCACCGCCTGCCCCGAAGGAGAAGTCCCCGCTCCACGCACGGGACAGCAGACGCCCCTTGGGGCCCGGGAGTGCAGCGGGGGCTGCGCTGGCCCTGCACCCCCCGCTGCCGCCCACTCCCCGCCCCCGCGTGCTCAGGCCTGTCGCGCTCGTGCCACGTGTGCACTGAGGGTGCACGGCACCAGCTGGCAAAGCCACGCTGCCACAGCCCCAGGATCAGCACCGCAGCGCTGGGGGCAACCTGCGCCCGGGGAGGGGGTCTTGGAGGGTCCTCAGGACCAAACATCGATGTGTGTGTGTCGCCCCACACCTGTCACCTTCCCGCGCTCACCTCTGCACCCCCCGTCCCCAGCATGGGCACTCCCAGCCCTGTTGCCCCATACTGCGCTGCCCCAGAGTTTCCCCTTCTCCAAGCACCCGCTCCAAGATCCTGAGCTCAGTCCCTCCCTCTGTCCCCGGCACCGGCATCATCACCGCAGCCTTGAGTCGCCGCAATCGCCGCGTGCCTCCACCAGCGCGGGGGGTCCCAGCGCGCCCCCCGCTCCCACCAGCTGTGGTGGCTGGAAACTGAGGCACGGGGCAACTCACCCCACGGCACAGCCGGCACTGCGTCCCCTCGCCAAGTGAGCACAGCCACGGGTCAAGGGCGGCTGCAGCCCAAGACGTGGATCTGCTCCGGCGGGAGGGTAAATACCGCACCCCGCCCCGGGCAAACAGTGGCTGGGGGCAGCCAGCCAGGGGGACGAGGACAGGTACGGCAGGGCTGGGCGCACGGGGCAGAGTCCACCGGTGTTCGGCAGGTGCTACCAAGGCACCGATCCCGGTGGGGACCGCTGCACAGCCGAGCAGTGAGCCGCCGCTGCCAGCGTGTAGGCCCGGGGGTCACCGGCGCGGCGCAGCGTGTCGGGACACGGGGACACCCTCCGACTCTACTGGCACCGCCGCACTGGTGGTTCCCTGAGCTGCCTTCCCCGTGCGACGGTGCCGTTCCTGCCCGGTGCCCCAGGGACGCCGCCAAGCTGCTCACCAGGTTGGGAAGGGCAGTGGGACGGCGGCAGCTCTCAGTCACCCGTGGGTGACCCACGGGGGACCCTGGCTGGATTTAGCAGCACCGCAATAGGACCCCAGCGGAGCCTTGGCAGCCTCCCCGGCACGCAACGAGGTCCTGCCAGTATCACCGATTTCCCGCAGCCCTGTGCGCAGCCACTGGGAACAGCCCACGAGTGATCCCCCCCGCCCCACGGGCGACGTGTCCACCAGCTCCGGCGGCGGGTGGAGACGGAGGGGACACCGCGCGGTGCCCCGCGAGCCGGCCGTGCCCGCCCACCGCATCCCGGATCCACGCGACTCACCGCAACCGGGCGGCAAAAAGCGGTCGCCGCGCCGCTCCCGGTCCCGCTGCCAGTGGGTCGATAGCTCCGCGCAAACCCCCGCCGGTGGGTCTGTCCGCTCCCCACCCGACCGCCACTCACCTGCGCGCCCCGCC